TTGCACTCTGACCCCCCAAAACCCACTGCTAAGGTTCCCTTGCCCCCCCAGGGTACTCCCTCCTCCAAGGGTTGGAGCTGGGTCCCCTTCCCCCGCAGCGCCCCCCTCCCCCAGGACTGGGTCTGCTTGACTCCCAGTGCACCCCCAATCCCCCAGGTCGGGGGCTGAGTCCCTTCCTCCCCCAGAGCTGGGGTGAGTCTCCCCCACTTCACTGCCTCACCTGCACGGTGTCCCATATCTGGTAGGGCAGGTAGTCCTGGCTCACACTCTCAGGGTACCCCTGGGGCAGAAACACGGACTGCAGTGGAGAAAAGTGGGGGCCAAGGGTGAGCAGAACAGGGACCTTCCCCTGGGAATCAGAGACCACACTTCCCTCCCTGACATCTCCACCTGGGCAACAGCAAGCCCTGCCCCCCCACAAATTCTCCAACCCCCCGTAAACTCCTCCGAGGCCCCCAATCTCCCTTCCCCTTGCCTCCTTCCCTCTACACCCTCTGCTCGCCTTCATAACCTCCAACTCCTCCCCACTCAGATGCAGCCTGGCTGAGCCCCCTAACCAATCTGTGCCCCCCACCCTGATCCCTTGGGCCCCCCAATTTACCCCTCTGAGTTCTGAATCTCTCCTCCTCTGCCCACCTCTGAATTACCCGTCAGCCCTCCTGGCTCCCCCCAACTCCCCATCTTTGCCCTTTGACCCCCCACCCCTCGTCTCACCATGAAGATCTCCTTTAGTGAGCGCCATCCCACATGCCCCGGCTCATCCCCCACACAGCTTAGGTGCCCATCGGGTGAGGGCAGGTAGCAACGGGCACCACGGGAGCCGTACTGCTCTGTGCAGAGCGGCTGGACCCCCAGGCTGGGCATGGCCGGAGCCGGGTCTGGGGGGGAGAGAGGCGTTAGACAGAGCAAGGAGTCATCCATGGCACAAGAAGAGAACACAACACACTGACTGCATACACACACACACAATGTCACACATACACACAGCACACAAACACCCAGTGTAATGCAGAGACTGCACATGCTCAGCGTTACACTCGGTGTGTGCGCACAGTCAGTGCATTGCACACCGTGGGCATGTTACAGCGTGTGTGGGCACGCGCAATCTGAATGCAGCCTTTGTCTGTGGTGAGTGTGTTACACTCTGTGTGCGCATTAGTGCACGTGTGCAGTCTGTGTTACGCTGTGTGTGAGAGTATGGTGTGCGTGCTACACATTTTGTGTACATGTGTGGTAAATGTTGCACATGTGCATTCATGTTACACTGCATACGTGTTACACTGTGTGTATGTGTGTGGGTGTGTGTGCATGTTATGCTCTGTACGTGTGCGCAGTGTGTATTACATGCTCTGTGTGTGTCCATTGCACTGTGTGTGCATTACATGTGGTGTGCATGTGTGTTACACTCTGTGTGTGCCTGTTACACACTCTCTATGTGTGCTACACTGTGTTACATGCTGTGTGTGTGCATGTGTGGGTGTTACACTGTGTTACATGCTGTGTATTATATGTTGTGTGTGCGCACGCATGTGGGTGTTACTGTCTGTTACGTGCTCTGTGCACATGTGTGGGTGTTAGACTCTGTGTGTTACATTCGCTGTGTGTGTGCATGTGTGTGTGTGTTACACTCCATGTGTTATGTTGTGTGTGCATGCACAGGTTTGGGTGTTACATTGTGTGATAAATGCTTTCTATGTGCACATGCATGGTTGTTACATGCTGTGTTACATGCTGTGTGTGTAGGTTACACTGTGCACACGTGTGGTTATTACACTCCGTGTTTTACATGCTGTGCGTGTGTGCATGTGTGTGGGTGTTACACTCTGTGTGTTAACACTGTGGGTGTGCAAGTGTGTGGGTGTTACACTCTGTGTGTTACACGTTGTGGGTGTGCACACGTGTGGGTGTTACACACGCAGTGTAGCTGCCTGCACACACAGAGCTATAAATACGCTGTGGGTGTTGGGGGGGGGGAAGTTAGTGAGTTACACTGACCCCCCCCCCCCCCCCGCCAGGCTGCACCCCGGGGCAGGGCAGGAGCGAGGCGCCCCGCCAGCCCGGCGCTGCCGGAGGGACACGTTGGCGGGGGGAGGAGCCCGGGAAGCGCCCCGCCCCCCAGGCCGGGACACACCCCCGGGGCCGGGCTGCCCGCACTTACCTGGGCAGGGGGCGCGGGAGCAGCGGGGACCGAGGCTGGCAGGGTGCGGGGGACTCTAGGCAGTGGGGTTGTCGCGTCCCCCCACCCCCGCGCGGGGCATTATGGGGGGTGTAGTTTCCCCTGCGCAGGGCATTGTGGGGGGTGTAGTTTCCCCCACGCAGGGCATTGTGGGGGGTGCAGTCCCTGTCGCAGCACCCCAGCCGTGGGGCTGGGTGGGTTGGTGCAGAGCCCAATTCTCGCACCGGCCCCTCTGCCTGCTGGGTCCCTGGTGGGGCCGGGCCACAAACCCAGCAGGGGAGGGTGGGGGGAGGGCGTGTATGGGGACAGAGCGAGATGGGGGGGTATGAGGATAGAGATATGGGGGGTATAGGGTTGGGGTATGAGGATGGGGGTATATGGGGATAGAGAGATGGGGGTTGTATGGGGCTGGGAGGGGCTATGGGGATAGAGAGATGCAGAGGGGTATAGGGTTGGGGGTATAAGGGGATAGAGAGATGGGGGTTGTATGGGGCTGGGAGGGGCTATGGGGATAGAGAAATATGATGGGTATAGGGTTGGGGGAGTCTGTGGGGATATGATAGAGGTCTATAAAATCATGACCGGTGTAGAGAAAGTAGATAAGGAAGTGTTGTTTACTACCTCTCATAACACAAGAATTAGGGGTCACCAAATGAAATTAATAGGCAGCAGGTTTAAAACAAACAAAAGGAAGTATTTCTTGCCAGAGGCCAAGACTATAACAGGGTTCAAAAAAGAACTAGATACATTCATGGATGACAGGTCCATCAATGGCTATTAGCCAGGACGGTGTCCCTAGCCTCTATTTGCCAGAAGCTGGGAATGAGCAACCGGGAATGGATCACTTGATGATTCCCTGTTCTGTTCATTCCCTCTGGGGCACCTGGCATTGGCCGCTGTCGGAAGACAGGATACTGGGCTAGATGGACCTTTGGTCTGACCCAGTACGGCCATTCTTATGGATTGGGGGTATGAGGATAGCGGAGGTAGTGCCTGTGGCGAGAGAGAGATACAGGGGGTGTACGGGGACAGAGAGAGAGAGCTATCTCCCTCCCCAGCAGACAGCTAGGATGCTGGGCCTCCAGAATGTGCAGGTGGCCAGGCTCAGAGCTCTACAAACCTGCCCCAACAGCCTGAGGTCAATGTGGCTGCTATTCAGGGGTGCCTAGCACCCCATTTGAAGCAGTGCCAAGCACCCCCTAACATCAACAAGGGCTGGCAGCACACAGCAGAACAGCCCTGACCGGGATTTGAACCCAGGGCCTACCCTTCCACATCACAACATGCTGCCACTTGAGCAAAGTAATGCCACCTGCAGGCTGCCATAGTACACTGTTATCTTCCATGTACAGCAGTCGCCAGCACTAATGAATTCAAAGCCTTTGGGAGGACAGCCCAACCCGGCTCTCCTATTTGAGCCGAGCAGCAGTAGTAAGTTGTTATTCTCTCTTGACTACTGCCCATGCCCATCAGCCCTGAGCTCTGAAAGGAGTCACCCCTTTGCTGGTAGCAGCAGTGGGCTGTTATCCATTACACAGGCCAACCGCCGGAGGGGAGTGTAGCACGTATCAGAGAATACGTGCCAGCCCACAGGGAACAGCTGGCAGCCCCCGACACGGGGCAGAGAGGATTTTTCAATCACTATCAGCTAGAGGGGCGTGTGCTTTGCTGCTTACGTAGCCTGCACTGGACACCCTGCCGGCTCCCTCACCTCCCGCTCCAAGCCCCCCAGCTGGGTCCCAACCCTCACCTCTTCCCCCACTTCAGTCAGGCCCTGACCAAGATTGTGCCAGGCGCTGCACAGACCCCAACTGAGATCGAGCGCCCGTTGTGCCAGGCGCTGCACATGGAGCAAATGAGGAAAGCCAGTGCTCAGGGTGACTGATTTCAGGCAAGGGGCCAATTCCCAGGCATAACCACATTACGCTGAACAACAGACCCAGTCCGAAATGACTCAGAGCTTAACAGGTGGAGAGGAGGGATTTGCATCTCTCTGGCCCGCCCTGCAAACGGAGTGAGATGTCTCCCGTGGGGGATCCCCCAAACAGGGCCCTCCACTGTGTGAAATCACAGTGGCTCTGGGAGAGCCATGCAGCTGCTCTGAATGCCTGTCTGTCGCACCCTGGGGGAGAGCTGGGCTGCGAGAGCTGGGTTCGAGCTATGGGTGCTGGAACTAGGGGCGTGTGGGCTGACTTGAAGTGGTTTCCATTCTATACAGGGTTCACTGGCTCTCAGCACCCCACACTACACAAATTGTCCCAGCACCCCTGGTTCAATCCCCGGCCCTGGGAGGGGACTGGGGTCTAGTGGATTAGAGCAGGGGACGGATGCCCTGGCTCTGGGAGGGCTGTACCGCGGAGTGCAGAGTGCTCTCTTCCTTGCCAACAGCTGGATTTTGTCCTGCCTTGAGGCTTGTGTTCCCTCTGGGACAAAAGCTGTTTTTCTTGCCATCTGGATTTCACGTGGGTTGACGGGAGAGGGTTTGTGAGCAGGGAAAGTGTCTTATATTCCCACTTAGATACAGAATCACACAGGTACCTGGGCTCATTTACTCCACTAGGGGGCAGCAGGAATACACACACACACACACAGCCCCAAATCCCTTCAGCACGGGGCAGTGCTGTGCACGTGTGCACACATGACTGAATCCCTCCAGCAGGGGGCAGTGTTATGCACATGCATGCACACATACACACAGCCCCACATCCTTCCAGCAAGGAGCAATGCTGCACACACAAGACTGATTCCCTCCAGCAGGGGGCAGTGCTGCACACACACGACCGATTCCCTCCAGCAGGGGGCAGTGCTGCACACCCACACACTCTTACTTTACACCCTTTATTAATAAAATCCCCAGCTCTCCTCTCCAGCAAATAACTCCCCTCTGGGAGCCTGTTTAATTCACCCCCCATTCCCTAGCAGCACGTCCGAGTGGGGTCTAGTTGGCGTGTCCATGCTGTGGGGGAGTCCTGGGTGTCGGACATTGTCAGACCTTTAATCCCAGGCATCCCATGCTGAGAGGCGGGTCTCCCTCCTCTCTGGCATGACCTCTGACCCCAGCCCCCTAAGCCACATGGCTCATCTGCAGCTGCTCAGCCAGGTCCTGGGCAGGGCGATGGAGCGCCTGGTGCTGCAGCAGGTTGGATCTCTGGGTGAACGCCTTCCCGCACTGGGGGCACTGGTAGGGCCGCTCCCCGGTGTGGATGCGCCGGTGCTGGGCGAGGTGGGAGCTCCAGTTGAAGCCCTTCCCGCAGTCCGGGCAGCAGTGGGATTTCTGGCCCGTGTGCAGGGAGCGGTGCTGGGTCAGGTGCTTGCCGTGGCGGAAGCTGCGCCCGCACTCGGGGCACTGATAGGGTCTCTCCGGCGTGTGGGTGCGCAGGTGCTGCAGCAGGTTGGAGCTGTCGCCGAAGCCCTTCCCACAGTGGGTGCAGACAAAGGGGCGCTCGCCGGTGTGGGTGCGCCGGTGCTGCAGCAGGTTGGAGCGCTGGCTGAAGGCCTTGCCGCACTGGGCGCAGGGGAAGGGGCGCTCGCCGGTGTGGGTTCGCCGGTGCTGCGCCAGGTGGGCGTTGTGGCGGAAACCGCGCCCGCAGTCAGGGCAGCTGTAGGGTTTCTCCTCGGTGTGGGTGCGCCAGTGCTGTGCCAGGTTGGAGCTCTGGTAGAAGCTCTTCCCGCACTCCCCGCACTTGTAGGGCTTTTCGCCCGTGTGGATCCGCTGGTGCCGGATCAGGAGGGTGCTGCGGGCAAAACTCTTCCCGCACTCGGGGCACTGATAGGGCCGGCCTGTCCCGCCCTGACTCTGCCCCTGCTCGGGGGTCCCATGCAGCTCCGCTCCCAGAGGCCCTGTCTGCTGAGGATTCTCCTTCTCCATCCCGGCACCTGCTGGGAGAGAGAGAGAATCCAGCCGGGGCTCATTCCTGGCGCTGGGGAGAAAGGGGGGGTTTATCGCTGAGCAGAAAACCTGATGGGCAGGAAGCGAATCCCCCAAACCCTTCCCTGAGGGGAGAGGAGGGGCTGGGGCTGCCCCAAGGGCCCAGCTGAGCCCTCAGAGAAAGGCTGGGGGAGGGGAGGGTTCCTGCCAGGGGTGGGATCCAGGAGTGACACCTGCTGGGGATGACACTGAGCGAGTGGAGACAGACCTGGGGGGCTCCCGGCAGCTTTGCTGGGATCCCAGCTTTTGCCTTCACTCCTGGACGGTCTCCGAGCTGGTGTCGCTCATTCCTCACCTGTGTGGGTGCCTCTCGGGGACTCCCTTTCCTCAGAGCCCTGGAGATCCGGGACCCTCGGCTCTTCCCCTCGCTCCATACGGGAAGTCACGGTCGGGTCGGGGACAGGGAATTCTGCTGGAGGGAAGGAAACAGGCGAGACCAGCTTGGTGAAATTCCCCCCCCCCCGAGGTCTTGGCACGGAGAACTCGCCCTGGCTTTAACCCGGGCCCCGCTCTCTGCTGGGGGCACACGGGATCCGCCCTGTGGGGTGACGGTCCCTGTGCTGCTGGGCCTGGGGGCAGCAGGGCTGATCCCCCAGAAATCTAAGCGGGGAAGAGCCCTGAGCCGTAGCTGCCCCGGGTCCATCAAAGCCCGTCGAGCTCCTGATCCCCGAGGGGCAGCGGCGCCTCACCCAGCGAGATCAGAGTCTGGTAATTCTCCTGCATGACGTCCCTGTAGAGCTGCCTCTGCCCTTCGTCCAGGAGCCCCCACTCCTCCCGGGAGAAATACACGGCCACCTCCTCGAACCCCACCGGCGCCTGGACCCACCGGGGCAGGGACCACGCTCAGCACCTGCCGCTCTGGGCAGGAACGAAGGGGGTGGGAACGGGCTGGGGATGGGAGCCTGTCCCACTCTTAGGTCTGTCCCCTTTGCAAGGGACTCTGGGAAATGCAGTTTCCCTTTGCAATGCACCATGGGCAGGGTTGGCCACTTGGGAGATTTCTGGCCCACCTCCTCTTGCATATTCATGATGGGGGTGGGGAGCTGTAACTGTCCCGTGTTAGCCTGGCAGGGACAGGGAGCTCCAGGAGACAGAACTGAGAACCAAGTGAATGTCCAAAGGACATATCAGGGGCACTAGCTCTGATCCAGCCCCAGCCAGGAGCAGGGGACTGGCTGGCTCAGGGAGGTGGGAAAAGGGACATGGGGCCTTTCCCCTCTAGGGGGTGCTGCCCCCTACTGGTTGGGATCTGTTACACCCACTCATAATGCAACAGAGGACCTTTCCTTGGGGTGTTTGAAGCATAACCAGGCTGGGGAAGCCCCCTGCTAAACTTCAGCGGGAGGCAGACAAGGAGCGTCAGGCTCACCCAAAATCATGAGATTAGGTAAAAAGAATAGATTTGAGGTTCTTTTTCTTTGCCTTCTGCTTTGTGAGCCTTTAGGCTGCATGGGGGGTCACATTTTGAAGCTTTCTCCACAGCCACGAGGGCTAGAAACGTACTTTTTCTTTAAGAATGAAGGCCGGAATTATCACATCTCCACTTGACTCCAGGAGCTGGGGCTTTAAGGAAAAATAATTAGCATGAGACTCATGAAAAATCATGAGAGCTGACAACACTGGGGGAGAGGATTCTGCCCTGCTCTGTCTGGTGTTTCCGTCTCTCCCCAGGAGACTGTGGAGGCAAACCAAGATCCCCAGGCCAGTCCCTTGTCTGTGGGACCAGAGATCCAGGGATCTCATGAGAAGTATGCAATAGCAGGGACATGTTGGATTAATATGCGTTGACTTATCTACATAATATAGATTCCTTCCCCCCCACCATTTCTGTTTGGCTCTGCCCACCCGGCCCAACCACTCCCCCCCTTTGCTCCCCCCAAGGGCTCCCTGACCGTAGAGCAGGGGTGGTCAACCTGAGCCTGAAAAGGAGTCAGAATTTACCAATGTACATTGCCAAAGAGCCACAGTAATACGTCAGCAGCCCCCCCATCAGCTCTCCGTCCCCCGCTCCCAGCATCTCCCGCCCACCGATCAGCACCTCCCACTCTCTCCCTGCACCTCCCGATCAGCTGTTTTGTGGCATGCAGGAGGCTCTGGGGGGGAGGGAGAGGAGCGAGAGCATGGCAAGCTCAGAGGAGTGGGGGCAGGGCCTGTGGCAGAGCCAGGGGTTAAGCAGTGAGCACCCCCCAGCACCTTGGAAAGTTGGAGCCTGTAGCTCCAGCCCCAGAGTTGTGCCTATACAAGGAGCTGCATATTAACGTTTGAAGAACCGCTTCGGAGCCACAGGTTGGCCACCCGTGCCATAGAGCACTGATCCCCTACAGCCACCCTGAGGCCATAGAGATGTAGCTAAGAGTGGCTACCTGCACTGGACCACTCTATCCATTATGTGACCCAGTGCACTAGCATTGTCCAGGGCTGTAGGCCAGCTGAGAGAAACTCTAGGGCAGGGTCTCTATGGTGAGTCTTCCAGGCACCGTCCAGGAGTCTAATAACCATAGAGATACAGTTTTCTCTGCCAGCCTTGCCACAGAATATGGCCAGAGTGACCACCTATGTAGTACCAATCTAGCCATGTCACTATCCATCTCTCTATGGTTATGGGTTGGGGAGCATTATGATCTAGGGCAGAGCTGGTTCTAGGCATAAGCAGACTGAGCAATTGCTTAGGGCCCCAAGAAGCTCAAGGGGGACCCCTATTTGCTTGTTTTAGTATTGGAGGAGCCAAAATATTCTTGCTTTGGGCTCCCAATGGGCTATCACCTGCACTGATCTAGGTATTTTCAAGCTTTTTGATACCAGGGACCGGCTTGCTGCCTCCTAAACTGTGTCAGGGAGATCTCAGGGACCAGTGCTGAGCCACAGACCGGTCATTGAGAAACACTGCTCCAGAAAGTACAGTGCCCTGGAGGGTGTTACAATCTAGGAGCATTCTCGGGGAGTCTCTATTACTTGGTCTCCTGCAGGGGTTACACTCTGGGACGTCTTCCAAGCATCTCTATGGTTTAGAATCCCAAAGGAGTCTGGGAGGGCTGCTGAGGGTTGCTAATCCCCCTGAAGGGATTACACGGTGGGAGGATTCACGAGGGGCTCTATGATTTGGAGTCCTGGTGGGGTTACACTCTGGTAGAGCTGCCAGGGGTCTCTATGGTTTAGAATCCTGGAGGGGGGTTACAGTCTGGGAGATCTCGCAGAGGTATCTCTCCGTATAGTCCAGACCCCACCACAGAACTGGGAGCCTCCTGGCCCATCCGGGAGCCCAAGCAGCTTCTGAGCTTCCCCGGCAGCACGGCGACACGTCCTGTCCCCCAAGACGGGGTCCACAGCACAGACACGGGGGGAGGCAAATCACAGGGGAAGGGAGTTTATTTCCTACAGGTACAACTTGCTAACACAACAAGAGACTCAAATCGGTCACAAAATCAGGCAGGGGAGCAGGATCCAGGCACCTGTTGGGAACAGAGAGTTTGGGCTGGGGCCAGACTGACTTCTGGGAAGCTCTCTGGCTGCTCCAGGCCAGGAGGGGATGTTCCCCAGGTGTCACTGGGCTCCTGAATGTGCAGCTCCATGCGCTGCAAAGAGAGGAGCCAGGCGCTGGAGAGGAGACAAGCTGCCCCCTGTCTGGGTGTGTCCGTTTGTCCAGCCTCTCTGGTACCCAGCAGTCTCACACGCCCCCAGCTCCCAAACCCCCTGTGAAACGGGGAAGGAGCCGAGAGTGTGGTCCAGAGGCAGCCAGATTCTGGAGGGTGAAGGGATGGTCGTCCCCCCACCACCACCCCGAATGGGCACAGGCATTAGGGGACAGGATGGGCCTGCAAGAGTTAATGATCCCTGCGGAGTGGGGGGTGGGAGAGCAGGGGAGGCCCCCAAACTGGGGCACTTTGCCCCCAGCTCCAGCGTGGATGGGATTCCCAGGGCACCGGGGAGAAACTCGGATCCTTCTTTCTCCAACGTTCCCCCAAAACCTCTTCTTCCACTGAGTCCACACCCCGACCCAAACCTCCTCCCCCATCCTCCACACGAATTCTAAATAACCCATCCGTCCCCACCCTCATTCCGTTCCAATCCTCTTCGGATGAGCCTATGTATCATGCTGAGTTCCCATATCAACACTTTTCACCCTAGATCCCAAAGCGCTTTCCCAAAGGCGGGTCAGCACGCAGCACCGTCCCCTTTTCCCAGATGAGGCACTAAGGCAGAGACAGGGGAAAAGACTCACCCAAGAGCACAAAAGCAAGTGTCAGAGTCAGGGATAGAACCCAGGAGTCCTGTCTCGCAACCCCCACCTTGCTCTCACCACTAGACCCCAGTCTCCTCCCAGAGCCAGGATGAGAACCCAGGAGTCCTGTCTCCCTGCCCCTCTCTCTCTCACCCCTGGACCCCACTCCTCTTCCAGAGCTAGGGAAAGAACCCAAGTGTCCTGACTCCCAGCCCCCTGCTCTAACCACTAGACTCTACTCCCAGGGAACCCAGGAGTCCTGGTTCTCAGCCCTCTCCCTGCTCTAAATCCCCTCCCCTCCCAGGGACACCCCCGCGGGGTTCCCGTGTCCCTTCCTGGTCAGCCGAGGTATTTCTGGATGTGTCCGAGCGGGCCAGCTCCCCCAGCCGTTCCCCAGGCAGGGCTGGTGTCTTCGCGGTGCGTGCGCCGGTGCTGCCGCAGGTTGGAGCTGAGGCTGAAGGCTTTGCCACACTGCAGGCAGGTGAAGGGCTTCTCACCGGTGTGCGTGCGGTGGTGCTGCAGGAGGGCCGAGCTCTGGGCGAAGGCCTTGCCGCACTCGGTGCAGTGGTAGGGCCGGTGCCCACGGTGGCTGCGCTGGTGCTGCATGAGGTTGGAGCTCTGGCTGAAGCGCTTGCCGCACTCGGGGCACGGGTAGGGCCGCTCTCCCTTGTGGCTGCGCTGGTGCTTGACCAGGGTGGAGGAGACGCTGAAGCTCTTGCCGCACTCGGGGCAGCGGTAGGGCCGCTCGCCGGTGTGGGTGCGCCGGTGCTTCGCCAGGTCGGCGCTCTGACTGAAGCCGCGCCCGCACTCCGCACAGGCGAAGGGCTTCTCGCCCGTGTGCACCCGCCGGTGGGTCACCAGGTGCGAACTCTTCCCGAACACCTTCCCGCACACCCCGCACGGGTGGGCCTTAGGGGCGGCCGGGGGGCGGTGGTGGCTCTTGCGGTGCTGCGAGAGGGCCGAGCTGAGGGGGAAGCAGCGACCGCAGGCCCCGCAGCGGTAGGGGCGGCGCTCCGTGTGCTCCCGCACGTGCTGCACGAAGTCCAGGCTCAGGGCGAAGGCGCGCCCGCAATCAGGGCACTTGTAGGGCGGCTCGCAGCGGTGGGTGCGGCGGTGCTGGCGCAGGTGGGAGCTCTCGGCGAAGGCCTTGCCGCACTCGGCGCATTTGTAGGGCCGCTCGCCCGTGTGCGTGCGCTGGTGGCGGATCAGGTGGGAGCTGAGCGTGAAGCTCTTCCCGCACTCGGTGCATTTGTAGGGGCGCTCCCCGGTGTGGATGCGCTGGTGCTGGCTGAGGTTGGAGCCGCGGCTGAAGCTCTTCCCGCAGTCGGGGCATTTCGTACGGGTCTCTCCCGGTGTGGTGCGCTGGTGC